TTTTTTATTGAAGATTATGATGATATTGAAGATGAGCTGCAGTTCAATCACCTACTCACCTCTAATCAGTCCATTGTTGTGTTTGTCTGTCACTTCTGTTGATATCCCTCTAATCCAGACGGTAGACAGCACTTATCTTAATTTAAATACTTACCTAAAAACTGAGGTCTAGTCATCTCGGTTCTTAAAGATGTTTACTTTCGTTTCCCTCCAGAAGATGATGTGTGAGCACCATCAGCTGTGATGACTTGCGTCTTTAATTCTGTTATGACTTCAGAGCTCCAACATCACAGCGATTTGCGGCTCATTTCCACCGCCTCAACCTGAACGCTTAACGTTTTCCTTATTTTCTTTCTCATTTGCAACTTCCCCTCTGGGCTTTTTATTTTTCCCTTCCTTCCGACACCTTCTACTCAAGTGACTCTTTCATTTTTCCCATTTGCACTCGTTTGGCTCCAAATGCTTTTACTCTTTTTTTTTTTTTTCATCTTTCCAGGAAAATAATCCAGCAATTTGTTTTTGCAAATATCTAATGCGATGATATGCCTCAAGGCGTGGTTACCTTGCCAGTTATGTCTTCTTTTAGTGGCAAGAATGACAAGTATGATGAGGAGGAGGATGGATGTGAAGGAAATGTAACGATTATTCATGTTGAAGGACAAGCTGAACGTCAGTGTGCGGTCAGATCAGATGCTCGTCACATGATGAGGAGCAAAGATTTAAAAAATGGGGGCAGAACAGAGTATGAAGCATAAATATGTGATAAAATTTTGTCTTATGACCGTTTGGGGAACTAAATGTGGCAGCTGTTTTCTTGCAATGAGACGCATCCTTTGATGGGGTCTTTTATCAGTTTCTGTTGTGCATCTATACAGTATATCTCTGAGCATCTACAGTTTATTTCTTAGCCTCTTTGTATCTTCATGCATTAATCCCTCTGTCTCATCTACACGACTTTATTAGTATGAGAAAACGAGAGCAGTCCAAACGGAGGAGACTTGATGGATGAATTGTGCAAATTTGGCAGGGTGCATTCTGTTCTCTGTAACAAGTGCATGGCACTCTTCTGCCTTTTCTTGTGTATGTTTGTGCCCTTTTATACCATTGTCTTGTTCTTTCACAAAAAACCCACTCAAAACCATTGTTCTTCTCCATACATTTTCTTTGTCCATCCATTCATCCATCCATTTGTTCATCTCTTGGCCAACAGTATCGTGCAGAAACGCTGTGAATAATTTATCGGCCTGGATTGCTCTGCCTTCCTTTTCTTTTGTTTTGGCATGCTGTAAAATTGAAGAACATTTGGTGTATTAGATTCATCGTGCCAACTATTGCTGGTTGAAAAATACCAATATAGCTAATAACCATTTAACAAAGAGCCTCATCAGCCGTCATGTTTTTAAATTCATATATGACTGCTGTTGTTTTTTTTATAGCTTTTTGTTACTAAAAGATTTACATGACCTATGGTTGTCCCTTGTATTTTACAGCAAACTCATCAAGGGAACATTTTCAAACAAACAATAAAATAAACTTTCTAGAAGAAAGGAAGAATAGAGTCCTATGTGTTATCATACTATGTTCCCATTCAGTGATGAAATTAGTTTAACCCATCACACATGAGATACACCTGTGGAGCAGCGGGCAGCTATGCAAGCGTCCGTGGAGCAGTTGGTGCATATGCATCTTCCTCAAGGATACCACGACATATGGGCATGGCGGGGAGTTGAACCTACGACTTTCTAGTCCCACGTCGGCTGCCCTACCACTGCACAACAGCCGCCCATCTAATGGTATAACACCACTGTACTACTAACAGAATGGTTTAGTTAATATTGGCTCTGTCGGGGCCATAATGGAGCCTCAGAGTAGAAGATAAATAAACTTGCGTTCTTAAACAAAGTGTAAGAAGAAACGAGACTTCTGGCATGGTTTCGAGTTCCTAACTGCCTCTCCTGTCTGACATTACCCTGGGGGGCCTCTGTGTGCGGCGCACTCTCCTGTCTATGCAACTTGTTTTTGGTCCACTGTCCAATGATGGATTGTCTTTTTGATGTGAATTGTCCTGCTGCCTTCATCAGTCTTGGCCCAGCTACCATCTGAACGAGCCCCTGCACGCTCCTGAATGCCTCCCAAGTCTTGGTGTCCTGTTCCGAAGACTCAACTAGGGTTGACAATGAGCTGCATGTGGAGGTTTGGTCTGAGGCGCAGTGCGCCTATGACTCGCAGTTCGGGCTCAAACCTCAGAATATCTACAGTGAGGTGCACAGTCCTCCATCTCTTGCCCAATAATATCATGTTTACAACCAACATGTGTACTATCCTGATGCACGTGCATCCAGGTAAAACAATCCAACAAAGTTAATTCAGGTCCTCTAGACGGTTTCTTTTTGTTGAAACTTTTAGTCTTCCATCCAAAAGACTTCATCAATCAGAGGAGCCACAAACAAATTCAGTCTTATAAACAGCATCTTACATAGTGGGTCAACCAGTCTGATGGTGCTCGGATAGTTTCTGGAGTCTACCCTCTCCCCCGCCAACTTGTTTGAGGCAGTCATGGCCAAAGTGGTTCAAAATAACGTGTACTATTGTTAGTAAATTTGTAGTACATATGCATACGTAGCTGTTTGTGGTATCAATCTGTCATCTCCCAAGGTCAACATTCTTGATGTCACTGTGGCTAAATGGAAAAAATACTTGGTAATTCCCTACCAAAGTTGTATTTGGCAGGATATAGATTCTATTGTCTTAATTGACCAAAGTTGAGGCAATGAAACACTTTCATTTGTATATAATGAAAAAAGTTGAATGTTTGTTGAAAATAAAAGAGGACAGGAAAATATATAAAGTCAAAATACAAATCGGTAATAAAGCATTTTTCATTTTTTGTTGATCCCACTGCATGACATTAGAAAAGCATGCACTGATACCTGTTGCAATAAATCCTCTTTTCTTCACCATTATCTACACTAGGTGTGGGAGAGGCCATCAGGTTTGGTAAACATTTCACTGGTATGCTACTCACAGCTTTAATACATAGTTCACTGAATATAGTAGCCTAAGATTTACTGCAGTCCAAGCAGTTCTTTGCAGTATAGATATTGCAATCAAATAATGTATTTTGCAGTCCTAGTTATAATCAAAGTAGGGATGCTCTATATTGGATTTTTGGCCGATATGCCGATTATGTTAAAACTTATTTGCTACAAAAATTGTGTAACAGCTGTAAGAGCTGGTGACATATATTCAGTAACAGCCATATGATCTGCAGAGCACTTTAACTTATATTAAATGAAAAGTGTTAAATGTTATTTATTAGCATTAGTCACCTGTGATGCTGTCTCACTTGTGGAGGCTTGATCCAGGTTCCTATAGCAGCAGTGTGGGATCCTCTGCACTCCTGTGCATGAAGGACAGACTTTTTAAGTTCAAAGTTTTTGTCTATCCATTGTGCTGTAAGACTAATCATGCTAACGGGGCTAACACGACGTCCAAATGTCTGTGGTAAAACTCACCCAACAAGTCGTGCTATCGGCTGTTAGCTTCTCGATGACGTCGGAAATGACGTCTTGTAACTCAGGGTAACGTTACGTCGGAAAAATATCTCAGACTGGGGACAATGTAGCGAGGCTCAGCGTGGTCCAAAAATCTTCGGAGTCCAACGTCCTCAACGAACAAAAAAAACTTCCACACTGTCAACATTTTGACTTCTTCCTCTCCGCCGTGATCAGATCAGGTAGGCGTGCGTGACGTCATCACCTTGTTCTGATGCTGCAGGTATCCTTGTCACTGGGTTGTCACACAAAAACAGCATCTTTTATATCGGTGAGTTATTTTGATGGAATGGCCCATGTCCGATATTTAATTTCAACATTAATATCGTCCGATACCGATACCATACTGATAATATCGTGCATCCCTAAATCATAGTGTCTGGTTTTGTTTGCAACTTTAAAATTAAGGTTTAGCTTGAGCTTAGTGAGCACTGTGCTCATTAAATGTAAATCCTATTCATACATTCTGCAGACACTGTGTGGCACATTTTAACTGCAAGCCAGGTAATTTTAAGAACTTCATCAGGTGGGGATTTGCTTGAAAAAGGTGGGAATGTGACTTTAAATGGCTTTCTAGAAAGAGAACAGCAGTCAGACTCCAGACACTCTGAGCGAGAATGAAAATCTTGACTGACTGCAGCTTGAAACCCAACTATCCTAGATTCAAGGTTCCTCAAGGGAGCCTCCTTGTTCATGATGGGAATTGAGCAGAAAATGTGCTTCACAAATCGTAGCAATGGTCTGAGCTATTTCACACGGAGATGGACAACCCTCCTTCATCTGGTACAGCCCTGCTAGCATTAGCATCAACATAAATGTCCTGATGCATGCTCAATAATCCAGGTAGAAAAAGACCAGATTTAACTTTTTTAGATCAACATAAATCTGATGTCCAAGATGTTTAAAGCATGCAGACTTACAAAATACTCACTAAAATCCCGTCATCCATCCATCCATCCATCCATCCATCCATCCTCTTTACCCGCTTCTTCCTTTTTGGGGTCATTGGGGGTTGCTGGCGTCCATATCCAGCCGTTACTGTGTGAGAGGCAGGAGACATGTCTCCAGTCCATCACAAGGACACATACATGGAGACAACCAACCATTCTCTCACTCACATCTAGAGACAATTCAGAGTTACCAATCAGTCTAACATGTATGTTTTTGTTCTGTGGGAGGAAACTGGAGTACCTGGGGAAAACCCACGCAGCACGGAGAGAACATGCAAACTAAAATCTCAGTCTTAGAACATTTTTTTTATTCCATGGTGATTTTTTTCTTAATATTTTACTTGTTCAATTTTGATCACGTTCTGCACATTATCTCTACCTCCTGCGATTGTTATTGTAGGCCATTCTGTTTTATCATTTATTACCCTCATTTCATTACCCTCTCATCATTGGGCCCTTTGCTCTCCGTTTAAATATTAGTTTGTGTGCCCTGCAGGTTTACCAGGGTCTGGATATCATCACCAATAAGGTGACGGCCGAGGAGCTCGCCCAGTGCAGACATCACATGATCAGCTTTGTGGACCCGTTGGTGAACAACTACACAGTGGTGGACTTCAGGAACAAAGCCCTGGCCCTGATATCCTTTTACGCCTGAAAGAAGAGCATTGATTTCTTTAAGACCTGGTCTCCACAATGCTGCTATCACCTTGTTAATTAGTCGTGACCTCAGGGGGAGAATTTATCAGATCTGACTTTTACTAATTAGCGTGTTAGCGTATGTGTGACTAGCTGCTGTGCCCTGATTTGTGTCAGTGTGTCTCGCTGCAGATGTTCTGCAGAGAAAATGAAAAATGGGAGATCACTAGAGAAGATATTTATAGAAGAGTGTGTCTGTGATGCGTTCACACACACACACACCAACAGACACAGACTCTGGACAGTCACACCCTCCTGCAGACGCTGGCTGTCACACAGATGTGGAGAGAGGAGGCGATAACTAGTGAGGGTATTAATAGATCAGGATGGTATGTCCGCACACACTTGTCCCTCTTTCACACACAGGCGCACACCAGTGCGGTGAGGGGATGTGGTATCTCCAAGAATAGGTTTCGGTGCAGCTCGAGCCTGCTGGTGGGAAGAGCGCGACAAGGGGAGAGTTGAATACAGATTAGGAGAGGGAAGATGTGTGTATAAACTATTAAGCAAAAAGGAGTGTGTGGTGAAAGAAACAGAACCTAACGACTCATCATCCCCTCACTCAACATGCCATTCACATAAACCAGCCCTCCAGTTTTCCCTCCTTTCCTTGCTGCGTGTTTGTAATCATCCTCTTCCTCTGTGAGTGTAGAAATCCAGACTTGTGTGCCTGTTTCTGTGTGTGTGTAAGCGAACGGAAGGCGAGCGACGATGCCTGATGGGCCTTTATCTTGTTTGAGTGGTTATTTGATTAGCCTACAGTGGAAGGGGGAGGGTGATTAGGAGCGGGAGTGGGGAGGAGGTGCAAGATGAAAGAAGATGCGACAGAGAAGGAGACCGAGGAAATAAGGTGTGGCACTCAGGCTGTGTTACAGGAACACTTCTTTCATCGTTCAAGTTTATTAGTTCATGTTTTCACTCAATTCTTTTAGGTTAAGTGGACTGAATAGTAGAGTTAAAAAAATAAGAATTTATGAAACAAAAAATGTTTTCAAGGTTTAAAGGTACACATTTTCCCACAAGTTAACTTCATTAGGATTTCAACAAATTGTGCCTTGTTTGTAAGCTTGGGTCAGAATAACACACGCACGCACGCACACACACACTACAGACAAGACAGAGTGAGGCACTCTGTTTTATCTTGACATGTTTTTACCATTTGGAAAAGAGACATCATGGAGTTCCCAGCTTGAGAACTAGCATACCAAACTGGGAACAAAATACTTTTCTGTAAGTTTTGTTTTTTTCTAGAGCTGCCCACAATTAGTAGGTAGGTACTGACACTTCTTTTAGGCTTTTTTCTGAGTGGAGGTTGCATATTTTCCCTGTTCAAGCCTGAACCAGGTACTCCAGTTTTTTTCCACTGAATAAAAACATGCATGTTAGGCGAACTGGTGACTGAATTGTCGTTAGGTGTTCATTTTTTGCTACGTTGCCCTGTGATGGACAGGCAATCTATCTAGTACATCGCCTCTCAAACGAAAACAAATAAACAATCTATTGCTAAAATGCCTCTGAGCCGACAGAGGAAGGTAGTCACAGAAGTGAGTTGGCAAGTATGTATGAAGGAGGAGCGTGGCACATACAGTGCTTTACTCTTAAGCAACAGCACTGCTGTCACTTTTCTTGTTTTATGATGCCGGCTTCACGTGTCTAAGCACATGCGATCATGGCCTTTGGCTAGCTCCACTAGTTCATGTTTAGACAAGAGCACATTTACAGTAAAGGTAACGTAGAGGGGGTTCTTCTTTGCTGACTTTTTGTTGAATAACTGTGAAAAGGACTATTGTTGTGCAGCTCCCTAACAGACTTCAACATAGATGATGTGCACAAGAGAAACAAACTGCCGATCATCGTTGGAGGAACAAATTATTACATCGAGTCTCTACTGTGGAGAGTTTTACTGGATACAGGGGTCAGTGTCATGCACACTGAACGTTAATGCATTTTGTTATGCTGTTAAGTCCATTCTGATACTGTTTGTCAGTGAGATGACTTTATCCAATGTAAAATCAATGTTTTATCTAAATGGAGACAGTTTTTACAGCCTGAAGACTGCCACCATCATCCCAGTCCCAAAGAGCTCTAAAGTGACTGGTCTGAATGACTATCGGCCAGTGGCCCTCACCCCGATAGTCGCTAAATGCTTTGAAAAACTGGTCATGACTCACATCAAAACAACCATCAACATCAACGAGGACCCTCATCAGTACGCATACCG